AGTGTGTGTTTGTCTGTGTAGACACACATGTGTGGAGGCCATAAATTGGCATCTGGTATATTTCTCCACTATTATTCACTTAAATTTAGTGAGACGAGGCCTCTCACTGAACCTGGAGTGTACCAATGGTTTAACTGAACTAGCTGGCCAAAAATGCCCTGGGATCTCCCTGTCTCTGCCTTCCGTCACTCATGTTATAGGCACGCACCATGACTCCCAACTTTTACATGGATGTTAGGGAACCAAACAGGTCTTCATGCTTGTTCAGAAGGCATATAACCCACTGAGCAATTACCCCATTCCTTATTTGCATTTTTAAGAATTTGGGCTATTTTTGTTTACTTGTGAAATATGCAATACTGGATAGAATTTACTTACAGAATTTATGAAACTTTTTTTGAAATACAGCAGAATAAATGGATACAACTAGTGTTTGGAATTTATTGTTCATTTTCATTTTCTCATCTAGTAACCTTAGTTGTAATCCTATCAAATTAGCAGTTCTTTGATTTATTCTATAAAATGCCATCCTATGTATATTTCTAATATGTAAATATGAACTCCTCAGTCTGTATAATGCTACTTGTATGTATATGTTTTCAGAGTTGACCATTAATGAAAAACAAAGAAGCCATTTGGAATACAGCAAGGAGGGGTAAAACCGAAGGCTTGTATAGAGGCGAAGGAAGGGAGAAATGATTTAATTATAACCCTACAAACTGAAAGAAAAATTTTAAAGTCATGCTTAGGTACAGTAGGATGCATATGCCAAATGTCAATATTTCTTATTTATATAGACAAAAGTCATAAAAACCAAAATTTTTCTTAGTAAAAAAATGAAAAAGCATATTAAGTAATAACAATGTACTAGTAACCATCAATTAAAATGAACTACAATTACAGCTGTCAAGATGAACAAATCTTAAACCCAATATGAAGTGAAAGAAGTCACTCAAAAAACTACACACTCTCTAATTCCACTTATATAAACTTCAAGTCAGGAAAATCTGAGTTATATTATTTAGTAGTAAATTTCAAGTAGTACTACTATAAAGAAAGTAGGAAAATGTTACTAAGAAAATGCTTTGCAGTTTGGTTGGGCTGGTGTTAAAGTTTTGCTTGTAGCCTGGCAGTAGTTTCCTGGATGTTTACCTTATTATAATTCAGTAAATTAGGAGCTTAATGTCTATAACTTTTCCACATTTTAACACTTCATCATAAAAGAATAAGAACACAAAAGAATCTCACTTGGACTGAGGCACATTTATATGAAGTGTCTATCAATGAAACAGGAGGACATGGGTTTGGCTCCCCAGCCCCCGTGTAAAAGCTCGATGGGGTGCCACGTGGTGCTAGGGTGAGGTGTTGTAGAGCCAAGCAGGTTCCCAGGGCTTGCTGGCTGGCCAGTCCAGCCGATCACTAATCTCCTGGTTCAGTGACAGACTGTCCCAGAATTCAATCTCAACACTGACAAAAGATATCTGACCTCAAATTCTAGTCTCTTCCTGCCCATGAACACATGTGCATGTGCACTCACACAAATATACACACACAAACACCTACATTAAATGAACACATTCACTTTTAAAAATCAATATTCTTTTATTTTAAGTCCAGAGTATTATTGCATAAGAAATTGCATTTATCAATTTCTGTCAGCATGGAAGTCTATAAATACTGTTCAAGGAAAAAGAACTTCATTGATGAAGATGAGATCAAGTTAATCTTGACTATAACCGCTCACTTGTCCTCACTACTAAGATGTACAAAAGACAAATTTTCCACTTAGGGAAATACGGTAGGTCGTCAGTTAAAATTTGTTTCTTATAAGCACAGTTTCCAGTTTCCACTGAAAGTGAGGCTGTGTACTTTAATTTTGTTTACATATGATGCAAATATGGTTAGCCATTTTAGTTACTGATATTCTTTGTTTATTAATATATTATAAGAAAATCTTTAATTTTATCAGATGGAAATAGAGATAGTTTTGACATTGTTATTTCATCAGCCACAGAGAACCTTGCAGAAGATCCATGGCTACATGTATGTGATCTGAGAAACATAAATCCTCTCAAGTCTTAGAACTATTGAAGATAAAACAGCTTCATTCTTTAAATAAATGTTAATCAAAGGGAAACTCTGTCATTCCAAATGCAGGGAGTTAGGAATAGAAATAAAGAGATGGTATAAATTTTCAACTACTTAACATAATTATTTCCTATGAGTTACTCTTTTATAATTTAGTATTTATCATTATTCAGTTGATTCCATGCAATTGAAAGGCATATTGACAGCTTGCTTAGTTTTAATTATTTGTACTCCATTTTGATTTTTTTTTACTTGATTATAAGATATCTGAAATGATTGTGCCCTTTCCTTTAACCTCAGTTAGGACCAAAATATTGTTAGAAATGGGTAACAAAGTTCATAAAATTATAAAAGCAATTTTAGAATTTGATTGGGAAAAGGAAAGGAGAAATCCATTTTCAGATGGATGCCTGGAGGAACACATGCAAGTGAGGAACTGAGTTATTTAAGTAGATTGAGCCGACCAAACTCATCAAAATGGCATTAGTTGAGAATTTGATTCCTTGCACTGGATTCTTCTACATGTAGACAGTAAATGAGGTTACAAACATCAAATGCTAATTAAATCTATCAATGGCATTACTCTAGAAGAACATATAAAATGATAAGAACCAAGAGCCTAAGAGATAAGTCTAAAGACACAAGCATATGGGGAAATCACTGTGGAAGAGGAATGTTGAGAAGGAAAAGTATGGAAACATGAAATCAAAGCACATATGTTCAAAGAGGGGGGATTCAATAGAAATATAAACACCTAGGATAGGAGGAAAGCCTGGGAATTTAGGGAACAGTACAGCTGTTAATGACATAAGTTAAGAAAACTTTCACAAAGTTGTTGGGTAGAGTTTTCATGCTACAGTGTGTCAAGGGACACACAGAAATGAAAGGGAGGCTGGGACAGGGGACTATGGGCTACTTTTTCAAAAGCTTCGCTCTATCAAGGGATGGGTAGGGAAGTAATTTATGAGTAACTTGACCATAAGGTAAGGCTTATTTGAAAAGTAAAGAAAATTAGGTCTACTTATTAATAATTTTAATAAAGAACCAAAACAAATATGTAAAATTGTAAAGAAAAAAAAAGGAAAGGGTAAGATAAAAACCATTTTTAAGAAACTATACCCAAGGTGAAAGGATGGGGGTTCCAGATCAATGCAAGGACTGGCTCCATGCTGAAGGAACAACAAATTAGTGAAGGAAATTCAACCGGAAGAGTTAGAAGCAGTGATCACTGACAAATCTACTATTTGAATGATGGTTTTCATTTCCATGCAAAGAGGCCATGGGCTAAGTGAGAAGTGAAGTATTATAGAGAGGAACGAAAGCCATGCTTTTCAATGACAAAAAAAAAAGAGAGAGAGAGAGAGATCTACAAAAATAAAAATAAATTGGCTTACCATGGAGAAATTTTCTATTTTTAAAGTTCTATTTTATTATTTTTATTTATTTTATTGTATTAGTTTTAAAGTCTTAGTGTCTGTATCTGTGTGTGAGAATGAACATGTGAATACAGATTCTCCTGGAGACCCACTGAATTCTGTGGAGCTGCTGTACCAGCAACTGTGAACCACCTGACCCTTAGTGCTGATCCTCTACAAGAGCAGTACAAACCCTTAGCCACAGAGCCATCTCTCCAGTCTCGGGGATTTTCCAAGAAAGATATGATATGAAAAAAAACTATACAAGAAATGTGAGGCAAGAAGAAAGGCAGAAATGGCAGGCGAGGGAGTCTAGGTGAACTCGGAAATAAACTAATTGGGGCTGATAGAGGTAGGGTGCAGGACAAAGAGATTGAAGGCGTTGATTCATTTGGATGACACAGATTATTGAATAAAGCATTTAGCACAAATAAATTGCTACCAGGCCGCAAAGTTTAAGATTTTTAGAGATAGACCGTTTCTAGGTGAGGAAAGGTGCAAGTTTGACTGGTTGATTACCATAATAAAAATTTGAAAAATTTTCACATTGGCCTATATATTCCTCAAATTTCCCTATGACTGTCAATCTCTATCTTTGAGTATTTTTTGTTCTCATTTACCTACTGTTATACTTGGAATGTAAAACTTATCTCCAAGCTCACATAGAATCCTTGGGCACCTCTGGTAGCACTATTTTAAAAAATAGTGAAAAGTGCCCGGAGGTAGAGTCTATCCTGAGAAAGTGTGTCAGTGAGGCTTGTGACTGAAGGGTGTGCCGAATTCCCAGCCCCTCCCTCTGCTTCCTGTAGGCAGTGAACTAGGTAGCCTCTTTCTTATGACTCTGCCCACATGATGTTCTTCCACATGGGCCCAGAATCAATAGAGCAAGAACTATGAATGGAGAACTCTGAAATCGCCAGCTGAGTAAATCCTACCCTAATGTCTTTTATTGTCAATATTCTGTCAAGGCAAAGTGAAGTTTACACACAGTGTTCAATTGTTCCTTTATCTGTATTTGCAAAATATGTTCAGACCATGTAATTCCATTTAAAACTACCTTTTTCGAGTCTTTTCTCATCACCTCATGTTATCAGGATTATTTCCTACCATGAGTCAGATGTATCTTAAATCTTGGTATAATGGAACAAACCTGTAGCCCTAGCACTCAGGGGACAAAGCAAGAGAACTTAAATTTGAGGCCAGAATGAGCAAAATAGTATTAGTCTATCTTAAAAACAAAAACAAAACAATCATTTCCACACTCTTGCTATTTGTGTCAGGACACATTTGTTCCTACTTCTCGGTGTCTTAGAAGCTGCCCGCCTGGTCCTTCTCCATCTGGTTCCGTTGGTTTTTGACACCAGATGTGGTCACTTGTATTGTCATCATTCTCTACGCAAGTGTCAACTTCAGTACTTACTACATTATGTTCTTTCTTATAAGATTTTTTTAAATACCTAACAACTAGAAACATTCTTAAGACAAGCTTCTCACTTACGATGGATGTATATAGAAAGTGGGAGTTACGTCGTCTTCAGTTGTTTGGTGGCCCTACTATCTGAACAAATGATTTCCAATCTTCTCTCAGTCTACCTGTAAAAAGGAGAACACTATGACCTGTGCACTCAGAAGACAGTTGATACATATCATGGGGAGGAAATTCCCAGTGCAATGTCTAGCAAATATAAGACTAGAGTAGAATATTTCCAAGTTAGTCTACATTGTATTAATCTCATATGATATTTAATATATATTCAACATTTGTATAAAAATGTTATACTTTAGGATGAGTATTGCATAGTATATTAGTTTGTATATCTCACATTGCCAGCAGGTATTATAAATATGAATAAAACTAAACAAATATATGTTAGATATGATCAAATCAACTAGTCAAATACACTAACTTCACAGAAGTTACCTTCCTTTTACATCTTAGGCAAATAAAACAAGATGATATTATTATTCTTTATTGGTATACATGTGCTATGCGCTTAGGTTTATTTATGTTCACATGTGTACAGAGGACTAAAGTTGGCACCATGTACTATGATTATTGTTCACTTTAATTTTTGACACCGAGGCTCTCACTAATTCAAGCCAATCTGCCTTCAAAGAAGTACAGAGTTATACATAACTACATATATGTACTTAGTGACATTGTGAACCACAACCCGTCCAGGAAAAGTATCTGCTGAAAAGTATGAAATAAAATTTCTACCCCGAAAGTAAATACTGTTTTCCTTCATGACCACAGGCTAGCTTGTGTCATGTGTGGCAAAGGAAAATTCTGGTCCAGTGTACTTATCACAGAAACTTACAAGAGGGATGATTTGAATTTACTTTCGTCAGATACCTATCATGTGCAAATTTAACTCCTTCCTGTTCCTAAAGCTTTGCTAGCATCACCCACATGTACTATTCAGCCACATAATGTTTTAAAAAGTAAAATAGACAATAATTTTGATGCAGATGATCTAGATTAAATAGTGTTTTCTCATAAAATATGTTTCATTAAAGACTGAATTCTTAATGACTTTTGGATAAAGATAGAAATATCTATTTTATAAACAGAACAGATTGATAAATACCTTATTATATAGAAATAAATGAAGTGATAAAGAAATGTCAATACATATTTAATAGCAAATATATATATAGAAATACATTTCTTTTACAGTTCCAGTCACGTGGAGAGAAGGCAGACCTAGTCCTCGACCATCAAGTCCACTTCTTTACTATGTCAATTTGATACGGTACTGATCAGGAAGTTTTCGGTAATATGCATGTCACAATCTCAGAGTAGAGAACTGACTTGACTTGTCTATTTGTTTGTACATATTTTGAATTTTTTAAATGACACAATACAACTTGAAAAGGAAACATTTGATTGCAGGAGTTCATATGTAGTCTTTAGATGTTTTCATAAACCTTTTTTCATCTATATTTGCAGAATTTTTTCTTGGACGTCTAACAAACACTGAAATCAGTTTGCCTCTCCACTTACCCTTTCATAATGTTCATGACACAAGCCTGTGTAATTTGACACCTTGGAACTTTAAACAGACTCAGAATCTTTTGGACCTTCTAGCCATCATCAATTCACATAGTGTGCAGTAAATCCAGCTCAAAATAAACAACACAGATGGAATTGAAGCTTATAGTACAATGTCAGCAGTATCCACAGATTGACAGAGCTAGTTAGGCTGCCAGATGCACAGAATGTTGTTCTAGCTCCTTGTTCTTTCTAACTGGACTTGATGGAGTACATCAGTGTCAAACTCCTTGCTGGTTTCCACACGCACACGCACAGAAACGCACCCGCATAAACACGCACATTCCTGCGCTCTATATCAACGGAACCATCTGCTCTCAGCTTTACATGTGGTAGCTAACTAACTATCCTACTGTGCCTGGTCTCACCGACTGCTTTCCCTGGAAACAAATGACAACAGTTTTTATCTTGTGCCCTCCTTGGCATTATAAAATAAGGCTCTTAACATTTCCATACGCATATATTTTACATGCATTTTTTTTTTAATTCTCATCTCGGTTTTATTTACTGAATCCCCAGGGAATGGCAATCTTTTTTTTTTTTTATACCACTCCTAAATTGAGGTTTTTCTATGGAACTTCACATATAAAATTGTTTCTTCTAACTAAGATTTATATGACAGCAATATATGAAAAAAACCAATGAGCCATAGGATCATTTCCCTCCCTCTCCATTATTTTATACGTGTTACTTGCAAATGGGAGTGTAAAAAACGTGATGAAGTAATGAAAGAAAACCATTCATTCCTTCTCAATATTGATGTATATAATTCAATTGCCAAGGATGGTCATTCTAGAATTAGGATGTGTTGATTGTGTAAGTATTAATTATTTCCACATACAAGGATTCTGCCTGCATCAGTAAATTCATGTATTATGCTGTTCCCAACTGCAGAATATTCTTCTTGACCTGTTTGTCATCTCATGTGGGATCTAAATGAGAAATAAATTATTTTAAAAAAGATAATCACTTTTTTAACTTAAAAACTTCAGTTATAAAGTACTTTCAAAGCAATGGATCTGTTTGAACTCAGAGCCTGAAGTAGCAGAAGGAGGAAATCCAGCATGAGATAGAGAAACATGACCCAGGTTCGGATCACACCAAGTATCTCTTCCTGACCTGTTTTCACGTCTGGCATCTGTCTTCATGACAATCTCTCTGGAAGATCTACAAAAATTATACTCACCTTCTGGTAACTAGGTAACATAATCTCCTGGAGGGTAGCTAATTGCAGCCCATGATAACCTCATACAGTAACTGTTAAATTTTTCATTTCATTCAAATTATTATGGATCAGTGGAGAGAGTATTGATTTGATTCATTAACAGATTCCCAGTCTGTTCCAAGGTTAATGATTGCATGTATCTCAATTACATCCTTAACAGGTTATACTGTAGAACTGGTTTAAACTGCTTTGTACATTGTGTATCTTTCTTATCTTAAAGATTTTTTTAGTAATTCATGATTTAACACATTTTTCTCCTCCTCTTCCTAAAACTATGAATGTGTTTGATGGAACATATCAAGATGGTACAAAAATGAACCACAAAAGCTTTTTGTGGGTTCTGTCAAGAGGGAGAGGTTAGCAGCTTGAGTCAGGTAAATACTCTGTAGTTCACTTATATTTAAAATATTAATCAGCGTGGAGCAGGGGTCCATCTTGTCCCTCGGTATTTTATACCACCTTCTCTTTGTAGAGGGACATTTTTTGTAACTTTGATCTTCTGAATGCATATGTGTTATAATTCAGCATAGAAAAGCAGAACCTAATATATTTTAAGTCGGACACATCTTAGCAGAGTTAAAGAGCAAATACATATTAAATAATTAAAAATATAATATTCTTATATCTGTTTAGAATGACAGCAAGTCACTCTGGAATGAATGACAGGCATGCTGGCCATATCTGCCGCAGATAGGAGAGTCCTTCCAGCTTCTTCCGGACAAAGAGAAGACATTGGTTTTGACAAACAAAAAATAGCAATTGTTTCACTTTGTTTGTTTTTTCTTTCAGGTCTTCTGTGTTCTTTCTCACCCTCTGCTCTTTAAACCACTTGCAAGCCTACTCCACTCTGCATGTTTAAACCAGTGAAACTCCCACCAGATCCTGAACTAGGACTGTTGGAGCTGGAGACTAACTGTGCATTTCTTTTTCTCTTTCTTTTCTTTTCTTTTTTTTTAGGAGAAAGCCCAACTTCTTGCACACATTCCTATGAAGTCTGTAATAGGAATTACATTTTAAAGACTATTATTGCTTTTACTATCCACTTGTATTCCAAACAAGCAATAATATGCCAGACACCTTCTGGAACCCTCAAGATTCTGACAGAGATTGGGGACTCAGAAGCCAAATGGGAGTCATCAGGAGGAGACTTCAGTTCTACAATCCATTAACTAAAACAATGGAGCCTGCAGCTGAGCTATTAAAAAGAGTAGAGCAATTTTTATTTCAATGGCTACATTTTATTTCCTCTTCTGAGTGACTGTTAACAAAGGGCCGCTGAAAGGACTGGATAAAAAGCAGGCGTCAGATGCAGGATCCATGAGTTAAACAACATTATTAGATACAATTTCATAAAATCTAGTTGCTTTTTTGCTACTAGAAATCATGTCCTTTTGTCAACTTGTGGTCACATCAGCACTTCTGCTGATATAATTTGCTCCAGCTGCAGAGCAGAGCTGGCCTGCAAATCAAGAACCAGAATGAGGACAGGCAGGAATAACTCAATGGCTTGGATAATGTGCAAATCACTACACTTCTAGCTATTAGTCTACTTTTTTTTTTCAGAATATTTGGAAGAGGAAACATTTATCTTTAGCTAAACAGCTAATCAGCCACCCTCTTAAGAGCTGGTTTTTCTGGTTATCTTTCCCTGAAGTCTAACCATTCTGTTGTAATGCTTTGTAATCATGACATTGTGTATTTAAAAAAAAATATAACACATTGCCCACCATAGAAGGTAATATGAGCACCTAATGCCAAGCAATAGATGCTTTCTCCAGTGCCCCTAACATACTCTTCTTCAGATTAAAATAAATATTCCTAAGCATGTTGTTTATCATTTCCAAATTTCAAGTGTTTTTGTCTGGCCTGCTATGTACAGGTTTACAAAATAACACACACCCGTCTGTCAACAAGCTGCTCCAACTGCCTCAATTGCAGACAGAACAGGAACCGGTCACAACTGAAATGCAATACTATTTATTGATTCCGACATGAATTATAATGATAGAGGCTTACCCAGTCATTCGGGGCGGAACTTCAGGCTGCTCCCTTGGCCGTATAGGAAACTCTATTGACTTATATTGAAGTCGATTACAATTGGATCTCAACCATTTAAAAGTTCAGCCCCAATTGAACACTCAGCAATCATTCTGTGTACAAAAGGAGAGTTTCTAAACAGCACAAAGCTCAAGTACGCTTGCATATCAAAGCAAATCAATGTAGATGGGGAGCAAACAAGAGAACAAGCAGCAGCATGTACCGCTGAGGAGGTAAGCAAATACTCCTGATAACAAGCACACTGCACCCACTGTG